GACGTTACAAGACATAGATAATATTTAAAAAATATACCTATTTTTGTTGCTATATATGCTAAATGCTATTAAAGTCTCAATTTATAGACTATATTCAATTATATAGTTCAATTTATATAGCTGTGCTCTGCGGTTTCACCCGCATTAATTCGTAGCACGATGTTCAATAGCCTAAAGATTTTCTCGGTAAATAGACTTTGAAATGTTGACTACAACTAAACAAACGAACAATCAAATCTTTTCTCGTTATAATATTAGTATAGATAGTGTAAATAGATCAATCTTTTTCAATTCGATATTCTACTATCAACAACAGTCATTTTGTCACGACAAAGTATCATTCACGGTTCATTTTTACACAACTATCATATTTTTAGATTTTTCAAAAGTAGTCTTTATTACAAAAGCGTTTCTGTTCAATTTCACGTAATCAAATGAATGAGAATAATTGAGTTTGTCATTTTCAGGGTAATTTTGTGAGCACGCATTCAGGCGCGAAAATTTATGACAGCTATCGACGTCAGCTAGGTTTTTTATTTTATTAAATGTCAGTTAACTTTGACAACTTAATTCGGTTTTTGAATCGGCCATTTTAAAGTCAAACTCGACATAAATCATATCTTTGTTTTGTGAAATAAATAACGAAACTACATTGTTTTGTATAATCATTTCAAACGTAAATCAACAACTAATAAACAAACAAAGAGTTGAAGGCAAACAAAAGGCAGAGCTGGCAATATGTGGAAGTTGGCTCCACAGATTAAAAAACTTTCCGCGCGAATCCCATGAGACACAGACAACAAACTATATTGTTAGCGGATAACACAGACATTTTTATGTACAATTATATTCATAAAAACTAAAATACTCTGTGTGAACTCACTATGCTGGTTTAAAATAGATGGAGGTTATAGAGTAAAAAGAGTTTTTGTTGGAAAAAACGAAGTCGTACAAAAATTATGCAAAAATAATTTTACTAGTGTCCTACACTAGCTAGATTTTGGGTAAATCATGCACAGCATCAGACATTCCACAGTTCGTCACGGACCCTTCTAGAAGTTTTATACCACCAACGGTTTGTTGAAGGAGCAAAGCACGATACCTTACCACTTAAAACCCTTCTTTGTCTGTCCTTATGCCATTACGATCGTCATGATAGATCTTCACGTCACGATTCGAGAGGGTAGGCACATAATATCATTCAATTTGACCCTCATATTCAAATGATGAAACATATTTTTATGTCTCCTTCTTCCAAATTGTGTTTATGCCGTGATGAAATGAGATAGGGACAGAGTCGAAGTTGACTATTTTCAGCTATTGAATATTTTGTTCTCATAAATATCGTTTTTTATTAAAATAATCGTAAAGTGAAATAAATAAATTTATTATATTAAATAACCTTTCTACTTACGTGGGACTCATGTGTATTACTCGTGTGTTTCATCAGCGTTAATTGCATTTGTCAACCAAACAGGACATTACTAGATTACGCTGTCATTTATGTCCCTTTGCTAGAGGCTCGGGATTTTTAGCGTAATTTCGTTACGAACTGTCGGCAGTAATTATTTCTGGCATTCATTAAAATTTTGTAAGCCTTCTTTAATTTATTTGAATATTTTATAAACTATACTACTAGATATATTATTAGGTTTATATATAAATAGCTCTATGAGAAGTGCCCATTAGTTATAGCCTATTTTTACAATAGCAACATTGTCCGCCGGCACTCTGGTTGCGCATGTTATCCTATATAAAACACCTTGCCATGACAACTCTCTTTTCCCCATCGGCTGCGCGCAGCGAGTTGAGACCGCGTCTTCCCGCGCGCTGCAGCCCCTCACCAAGGGCTATACTGCCCGTACTGCCCTGTATCAGCAGGGTGCGAACATAGACACCACCCGAAGGGGGCATATACCCCGAACGGGCTAAAGCTCACCCCTCTCGAGGGAGTGTGCAACACAAACCACACGTTCTTTACTCTCTTTAGGTTTCCATCTGCCGTGCATTTACACAAAAAGGCTAGTCTCTGGAGGTTTAATACTCACAAACACGTTCACATAACTTTGCCGGGGCGACTTTCTGGGGATTCTTTTGTATCTCGCATATAAATTAGAAAATTTTAAGTTTTATATAGTTGTGTTATGACGATGAAAAATTGCTTTGCTAAAATGTTGATTTGGTGATAGTGATGATTTTTTTTAAAGTAGTATACGTTTTTGCTTTTGGTTATTTACGTTTTTAATATGTTATTTTTGTTTACACAAATACAGTATTTACAATTTTCTTAACCTATAAAGTAATAATTAAAATAATTAAAAATAAATAAAATGAAAATCAAAACAAATTTAAAAAGTTTGGTCCCTGTGGCAGTTTACCTTTAACGCTGGCAGCATTTCCTCGCTGTATTGCGATACTTATTCGTTGAGCGAGGAAAGTACCAGCTCTGGGGTCACCGGTACTATCTACCAGGCGCCAACTTAAATTATTTAATAAGCGCCTGTGCAATTGAACCCCACGGCCCAAGAGTCTCTAGTTTTTATTAGCTACAATGTTTCAAATCTTTTAACGAAACTTGGATACAAATATTAACTACTTGTAGTGACTGCTACGAGGGAGCACTGAAGCAATCGGTAAAGGCTTTGTGAAGTAGTAGTTCTCAGGACTTAAAACTTCGATTTCACCTTGCAAATCAACAACACTGAGAAAACTTTAAACTTATCTAAATCTCAATTCTGTAATCTTAACATTGTTTAATTCTAACTTCTCATGAATGCTACTTAAATTTAGTTATTTGCACTTTCACTACCATTTAGTTAGTAAATATTTTAATCTTTCGCAATGAAAACAACGATTACGAAATATATCGAAAATTATTTATATAAATGGTATCCTATTAAATATTAAACAATATGTAAGTAACAACGATAAGCAAAAAATACGATAAAAAAATGGATACAAAAATATTTTGTTTGCTCAATTACACGGTTCGGAATATAAGTAATAAAAGGAACACTTCACTGTTGGTTGAATCACTCCCTTTATGTGTTCAATTAATTGATAATTATTACTGGATTTGTTCTCATGGCCCACGATCATTCTTTAGTGAAATTATCGTGCAATTGGAAGTATTGGAAGGAAGATAATTGTAAAGCGCCTGATACGAAATATGAGCAATGCCGCTACAATGTCACCCTCCAGATTACTAAAACTATTTTCGTTTTATAGCAATTTTATAAGACACTTTAATCAAGAAATGTCTTCACGTGTAGCCGATGGCTTTAAATGATTTAAGTTAAACTTTTAATATCGTCTTACGTAAGTTGGAAAGCTGCCAACTTCTTTCAATTAACTTAGACGGGTTAAATATTTATTGTGCTCTTTTAAAAATTAGTTTAGTCTTGCAGATCGGCATATTAGTTCAGAAACTCATGACTTGTACTTTTTAAACTCTTCTATTATAGAATAATAATAATCCAGTGGCAGGTGAGATCTGTTGAAATTGATTGTATTTGTTAAGAATCGTGAATTAGGAGGGTAGTAGTCGCTGGAAAAATTGTCGCAACAAATAGGGACTAATGGAAGAATCTGGAGGAGGCCTTCACTCCGTCGGAGGTCGAGTACTAGTGTAAAACTTAAAAGACATGGACTTACTGTTGTTATAGTGTACCCGAATAAAGGCTATTTTTATTTTTTTTATTTTGTAATTATCCAGTGGCGCTACAAGATCTTGGCCTCAGCTAGCATCCGTTTCTTCGATAATTTTTATAGACGCGCACGGGACCAGCCTTTTACCAGCCAGTCTGACATGTTTGAGACATGCTGTTTTCCTTTCACTATGTTAGCCTTCACAGTAGGAGCAAGGGTTAATTGCACACAAAGAAAGAAAACTGCACGCATTTTGTTGCACAGCCGTGATTCGAACCTCATGGATTAGGCCTAAGCCACTATGCCGAAACTGCTCTTCATGCTTCTAATTAAGGCTTTATATAATATACACAAGAAATATATAAACCAAATATATAGGACGATAAACAGACTGATAGAGATACTCCCGAAGTTGTAATATTAGTTTGAATTGGATACGAGAACTATTAATGTTAATGTTACATGTTGAAGTTCTGTGGTTTGTACAACGGCATGGTACTAGGAAAATGCGTATTATATATTCTTGTACTCATTATTATATTAATAATAGGCAATTTAATTTTATTTAATAATGTTAAATTCATGAATTTACAAGCCTTTCATTTCTTCACGTATTCTATATTCTATGAGGCTTAATTTTATTTAAAAACGAAATTATTAATTATTGGTAGCCAACACTTGGAAAAATTAATACAATAATCATTAATACTATAACTACATTTATGCTTTAATTTGATGCATTTATTCGACTATGTATTTGCGTGTTGTTCCCACTATGCATCCTGGTGATAGAGGACACTTCTTTGTTTTCAATTTATTTTATTATTTTTATTTACTTAAGATGTCATGTGGAACATGGTGTAATGGTTGCAGCTCCTTACAAACATTGTGTAAAATAAAAAACTTGGCGATTTAAAAGAGTGGCGGAGAGTGTATTGCCATTTCTTCTCTTCCGTTCTCCACCCTTGATTTGAGAACTGACAGTAAACTAAATTTAGAAGCATTTCATATATATTTATTTGTTTGACGTTCATAAGTGTACATTTTGTTACCTATATGAATAAATAATTTTTGGATTTTGAAAAATCACGCCATTTGCATTGGAGAGGCGGAGAGAGTCAACAGTATAACATACAACTTTAATGCCAATCCTTGTCTAACACACATTATCTATATTAACCAAGATTTTCTTTTGCAGGTAGCAAGATAAGATAAGATAAAGATGCGCACGGTCGGCCGTTAAAGAAACTATACAAGTTTGTGCAGTTGTGAGAGATGAGTTTTATATAAAATTATGACAAACAAAGTGCAGTCAAATAGTGATTTGTGTATGTGATGCTATATTGAAAATCATGGGTTGTCAGTTGGGAAAGCTGGCTTCGTCGGAGAGGAGGTCTGGTGACACGGTCTTAAATGAGGGGCCTCCGCCGAAAACGGATCCGCGCCTGCCTCTAACTGCCAAGCAGAAGTACTCCATGGTAGCATCATGGAAGGGAATTTCGCGAGCCATGGAGAAAACTGGGATATGCATGTTTATTAAGTAAGTTATGAGATACTATATATTATATTTATTCCGCCCAGGATTTGATGGAAATATGTTGTTTTGAAATATGTATTTTCATCCTGATCAATCAATTCTTATCAGAACTGCATCGCGTGCAGTCAACTCTTATCAAAAAGGGGTGCATAATTACTGTTTCATATAAGGTTCAAACACATGGGATAATTTTATAGAGTTCGAAACTAACAAACTATACCTAATAGAGACACCGGTGTTTTTACTAAATTAATGATTTTATATATGAAATTAAGTAGACAGTAAAAGCTTCAAACGATTTATTCCGTTTCTTCAAATCAGTCATTAAATTATAAATTGAAATCATCTGGAAACGCTTCTAATTTCATTTTGAGTAATCGCATTTACTTAGCCTTAATTCAAATGAAAAAACTCTATCTTCGTTCAAATGTGTACCGTTCCTGGGTCAACGGAATGTTTTAAATAATAGAGGATATTATTTTTCCTCTATATTAATTACTCACGCTAATGCTAATTGATATGAAACGATGCTATCTAATGTAAATGCTGAAGATAGTGCCTGTGTCTGGCTGGGTCATAACTCCGACAAAACTAAGAAAACCCGAGCTTAATGTATAGACTTGGCTCATACATTGACATACATTATTAAACATATATGATCTGAACTATATATATGAAATAAACTGGCTCAAATTCCACTCACAAACGTGAACATCAAGTAAAATACCTATTTTACGTAACAACATCCAACGAGCAATTTGCGTACATTCAACAAATTTACATTCAGTCACTATAATCAAACATATTTACATGAGCACAGAGCTTTCAGTCTCCTTATACTTGTACTTTTACGCTAATTTGAATGCAACCATGATTAAATCTATCTCTGATTCTATCGGTCTGATTTATCAAACAGTGATTGAATCAAAGGACAGCGATATATCCAATCTTTGGACGTACGTTACGCGTATGATTTCGCTTGTGTATTATCATAAAGTATATATATAACCTGTCCAGTTTGTGTTTCCACCACACTATTGTAAAGTTCTTTTTTTTCTGTATATATTCATACAATAAATGAAAAAAATATACAATAAAAGTAAGAACTCATTCCTAATATAGCGATATATTCGTTTAAGCTTTATGTTAAAGGATTTTAATGATTTAACAAAATTGACACAAGTAGGGGAACGCGGGGCTTGTTGTTACAGGGGTAAATAGTAACAGACCTTTTTCAATAGGAATTTGAATTTTATTCACGTTTTTTTTTTACCTAATCTTCAACTTATAACGTGCCACGCCACTTTACCACAGCCAGGGTCCTGCCAGGCGGCTCAGTGAGTGGGTGTGTGCAAACGCTTAATTGTTGACAGGAAACCTATAATTTTACTAACGTAAATTTTTGGTTAGTTTTACTATTTTCGTAACTTTGAAGTTTTATGTATTTTATTTTATGCTAAAATATAACTATTTATGATGTTGTATAACAGTTTTCAAGATTACTAAATTAATTTAATAGTTATCGTGATAAATATTAAGAACTACGAGTATATCAAGGGGCTAGTTGTAACAAAACCTCGGGGTTTGTTGTAACATGTTACAATATGCTGTAAGTCCCCAGATTGCTGTAAGTTACTGACGGCCGATGTTCAGTTTTCCCCGGCTTAAATACTCAGAAATGTTTATTCGCGGTGGACCTGAAGATTGCATTGGAGCTGGCAATTCTTCAGGGTGGAGGATGACTTATAAAGAATTTTTGATTTTTGTAGATCACTTTATCAAACACGCGAAACCTACCAAGAAAGAGCCAGTTCTGTTACTGCTCGATAATCATGGCTCACATGTGAATGTTGTCTCTCAGTTGTGAGTAGTGTCAGCTCAGTTGTCGAAAAAAAAATGTTATAGTTTTCCTCCCATTGCTCCCACAATTTTCAACCTATGTATGTAGGAGTCTATGGCCCTTTTAAAAACTACGTGAACAGAGCACAGACTGCATGGATGTATAATAATCCAGGAAAAACGATGACAATTTATGACATCCCAAGTGTAGTGAAGGAGTCATTATCAGTGGACTTAAAGCTTCTGGTATTTGGCCTTTGAATGTTGATATTTTCCAAGATAGTGACTTTGCGCTCTCTTATGTTACTGATCATCCAGAGCCTACAGAACAATCAGAAAATGTTCTAAATGAAAGTGAGAATTTATCGTTGAGTCTTAAACGTCCAAAACTATTAGATTCTGCTCCTGAAGTGGATATCAGCACAACAGAAATTATACGCCTCATTGAAACTGCGAACAAACTAACTCCAAGTTGCTCTGGTCAAAATCAATTTTTCCCATCAAAAGTTAGACCATTACCAAAGGCGCCACCACGAAAAACAAATATAAATTGCAGACGCAAAAGGAAGTCTGCTGTTCTGACTGATACGCCTGAAAAAAAGCTTTGAGAGTAGAATTTGAAGAAAAGATGAAGAAAATGCAAAAAGAAGATGATAAAGAAAAGTGAAAGGGGAAGGAAAAGTTAACAAATCTGCGATGGTAAGATGTAAGGTAGAACTAAGAGATAAAATGATCCAAGATGTGAAAAAATTAAACGATTGAAGGTGTCATTTTTGTTGTTACAACTGGCCCCAACCACGGGGTAAGTTGTAACACTTCTCTTTTTTTAGAAAAAAAATAATTGTGAGATAGTTACCTGTAGATTTGATAATATTTCGATTCGACTTCATAGATAAATAGTTAGAGTATCGATCAAAGTTTATTTAGTAGTAATTTAGCCAATATTCTTTATGATATTCAATTATTTGTTAAAATTGTTACAACTAGCCCCACGCTCCCCTAAAGTATTTATTAGCCACGCCCACCAGACTAAACTAATTAAGCAAATAAAGTCCCTTTTTTAGGAAAGGGCAGATTTGTCACTCCTCTGCTGCCTAGCTTCTCGGCAAAAAAAAGTGTGTTTGTGGCTATTAAGAGTTCGTATTTTGGGAGTAGAAGTCGATACAATACTTTATGTATACCGAATACGTTTAGCGAAATTTAAATTAATACTTTTTGTAAAAAATTTAGTTCACCATATAACATACTTGGAAACTTTAAAAGCCCAAACCTTATCTTTTTATAACACTATTACTATGACAAATAATACCTATATACCATAAATACTGATTGTATTCGTATCTGTTATCCGGTATGTCTACAAATAATATCGCGGTATTGTACCGCGGTGAAAAGCATTGCGATTTTTTTGTTGATTATCAAGATTATCTGCTTAATTATTAACTACACTGATAAAAAAGAACAATATTCTAATGACACATTTACCAAGTAATCGTATAAAAAGTATATAAAAAATAATAATATGAAAGATTACGTATAATGCCACAATTCGGCATATGTTGAAGATTATACACGCGTATTTAACGCATACAATTTGATATGATAGTTAATAATACGTATAAATAATTGCCTCAGAATAGATGTGCCGTTTTTAGGCTTAGTAGAATTTGTAATTGGAAAAAATCATTCAAGAAAAACTCAGTTTTCAAGATCTAGTAAATTGCGCACGCGAAATAGCTTCGTTTAGAAACCTTTACCTGCAATATCTGTTTTCATCAATAGATAGATAGATAAAAGAGAGTCAATGTCCAATGCATGTCCATGTAACATAAACATCAATATTAAAGGACCATTTTGGTGGACACACTTTCCTTTGCTTCTACGTATAGACATGCTTGCCCCATATTGTTCCACAAAACAATTAACTAAAGAGCAAAAGCAATTAGAGTAATTTGTAAAACAATATCGTAATTGTCGCTTCTAAATAATTAATACTGTAAATTTACCATGCGTCAAACGCAACCCGTCTGACACGAAAGCTATTACATCTGAAGGGTTATGCATGAACTAGTGAAAATGCTTCACCGTATATAATGCATCACAGATTTACAACACTGTTATAAAGTATTGGTAATATAAACATAAAATTCGTCATCGTCGTAGAATAGTGACGGATCTGACAAATAGTAAACTTTAAAGGGCAGCCATTTCAAAGTAATATAATCATGTTAGATTATGTCATCACTATTTTAATTCATATTCTGTTATTATGAAAATTGGCATACAAGCAAACAAAAGAGTTTTTTACAACAAAATAAAAATAATAACATTAAATTACACAGTTCTCTAGAAAAATCACACGTTTCTATCAAATCCGACACTTTACCGACTGATTAATTTGAAATTTAAAACACATAGATTTTTTTTAAATATAGCCGTAACCCTAGAGCCTATAAGAGGTTTTAGGTTATGATTGAATCATAGCGCTAAGTATGACTCCTTTGTTTAAACGTATTAGAATTCATTTGTTTTTTGTTAATATTTAAGTGACGTTTGGCGTGCGTGAGTGACAATAAATTATAGATTAGTGTGTTATTTGTAAAATTACTTAACTATTTATCATTCATTGTTGTCTCTTTTATCTTATTTTCTTTTTTTGTGTTGTTAATAGTCGATACAAACAAGTTAATATAATAATAATATAAGCCTTTATTCAGACAAGATACAATTTTACTTACTACCCCTTTTCCTCTTCAACAGACCTGTGTGAGTGTGAGCAAACAAGTTAAGTATGTAAAATTAGAAAAGAAAAACAGAAATAGAGATTCTTAAACTAGGTAAAAATAATTAGGTTAGTTTTCTGCGCCTTAGTTAAGTCGGTTTTGGGTCGCTTTATGGGTCACCTTACGAGCGCACAAATTAAATTAATTCGATTAGTTGGGATTTGAACACATTGACTTCTGTGTTGAGAGGCGCTTGTTTATTTATTTTAATTATTAACACTTCGTTGCAGAAACATAATACAATTGACATAATTAAATGGAAAGGAGGGCAACTGGCTGGTTTACCCGTAGACTATAATATAATGCTGCTTATTGTTACAATTAGTTTTAGATGAATATACGTTTTATCATAGGCTGATAGTGACGTATCATGTTGTGAACCCCGGGGGTCTCGCTACCCCTCCAAATAGAGGGATTTGAGTGTAGCCCCACAGTCCCCGCGTCAAGCTCGCGTCCAGTAGTGATTAGAACTTAGCGATTAGAATTCGCCAATATTTCATAATAGCACTGAGCATCGTACAATTTCAAGATAGTCTACGCCATTAGT